ACACACACACACACACACACACACTCACACTCACACTCACACACTCACACACTCTCAATCTCTGCTCCTCTGGTTTCCCAGGATCCCCTGCTCTCACGTCCCGTCAGTTCAAGGAGTCTGACTTCCAGCAGGTGGTGGATTTCTTCGATCAGGGCATCAAGATCGCTCTGGACGTCAAGAAGAAGACCAGTGAGTACAGACTCGGAGATCTGCTGTGACCGTGTGTTTCTGCTCAGTCATGGGCTGTTATTATATATCATGTTTTATATCAACAATATACAGTATATCATATCAACACATCAGCAATGTTGTCATTATTGCATATCATGTGTTTTCATTTGATGACTGACAGCATTACAGTAACAAAAGAACAAATTCTGAAGTTCTTTCTACATTAAAACAGTTTTAGCCATACAATAGAAATAGTATGTTTCATGGTTATTTAAAATGTCAGATTTCCTCATATATTGCTCAGGGTGATTAATTATACATATTGTGTACATTAAATGTTTAATTTTGGCAAATGTGCATGTTGCCATTATTAAAATTGAATGATATTAATCAGCCGCTCATCTCTATAAACAATCAGTATCATCATCTGCCATCAAAGGACGCATTTAAGTGATCAAAAGTGACAGTAAAGACGTTTATAATGTTACAAAAGATTTCTATTTCAAATAAATGCTGTTCTTTTGAACTTTCTGTTCATCTGTGAATCCTGAAAAATAAAATGCATCACAGTTTCCACAAAAATATTAATGTTTTCAACATTGATAATTATCAGAAATGTTTCTTGAGCAGCAACTCAGCATATTAGAATGATTTCTGAAGATCATGTGACACTGAAGACTGAAGTAATGATGCTGAACATACAGAAATAAATTACAGTTTAACAGATATTCACATAGAAAACAGCTGTTTGAAATTCTAAAAATATTTCACAATTTTTACTGTATTTCTGAACAAATAAATGCAGCCAAAACACGAGCATTATTGCAGCTTTAATGTTGTTCTGTGTGTTCTGCTGTTGTGTTTCTCTCTTCATTGAGTCTCTCTCTGTTTCCCTTCAGAAAAGCTGTCAGATTTCAAGAGTTTTCTGCTGGAGGACTCGGAGACGGCGTCTCGTATCGCTGATCTGCGTCAAAGTGTGGAAGCTTTCGCTCGTCCGTTCCCCATGCCTGGATTCCACGACCATTAAAGCAGCAGCGAGCGAACACGTTATTTCTTTTCTTTAGCTTTAAGATCAGTCACTACATTATTAATCATTTACTGGAACTAAAAGTCTTAAAACGAGCAGTAGTGCACGAAGCTACCAACATGAGTTGAAATTATTTATTCCTCATGTGTGATCCTTTTATGACATCCAGGACTCGAGTAACATCTATATCTTCCGTTTCGAGTGAGGAACAACCGTTTCTAACAGACTAATGATGCTAAATGTTTACAGACTGCGATTTCCGTTCGGAGCCGTTTTTCTGCTGGAGTCTTGGTAGTTTGAGTTCTTCTCTTTTGATAATCGAAGCTGTTTTGTAAATTTACAGTAGTGTGTGTAAAGACTTTAACTGCATTGTTGGAGTTTGTATTGGCTCAGTGATTTCTGAGCGTTTACTGAGCGCACACACACACACATATACACACACTCATACAAACACACACACATTCACTCACTCATACAAACACACACACTCATATAAACACACACTCATACATACAAACACACACACGCACTCATACAAACACACACACACACTTACTTTAAATCTTATTATCATCACAGGCAACCATTGGAATTGACTTTTTATCAAAAACCATGTATCTGGAGGACCGAACTGTAAGAAGCTCTGAAACGAATTAGAATGAATGATTATATTTAATATATATCACATTAATGCAACTATCAAAATCTATCTTTATTTCTACAAATATGCCTTGTGTGTTGTTTTGCAGGTGAGGTTACAGCTATGGGACACCGCAGGGCAGGAGCGTTTTAGGAGTCTTATCCCAAGCTACATTAGAGACTCCACAGTGGCTGTGGTGGTGTATGATATTACAAGTGAGCCACACACACACACACACAGACACACACACACACTCATACAAACACACACACGCACTCATACAAACACACACACGCACTCATACAAACACACACACACACACACTCATACAAACACACACACGCACTCATACACACACTCACGCACACACACTCACACGCACACACACACTCACACACACACTCTCACTCACACATACACACACACACTTCACTCACACACACACTCTCACACTCACACACCCACACACACACTCTCACTCACACTCTCTCACACACACACACACACACACACACACACACACACACACACACTCATACAAACACACACACACACTCATACAAACACACACACACACTCATACATACAAACACGCACACACACTCATACATACAAACACGCACACACACTCATACAAACACACACACACACACACATATATACACACACTCATACAAACACACACACACACACTCATACATACAAACACACTCATACAAACACACTCACACACACTCATACTCGCACTCACACACTCATACAAACACACATGCACTCTCATACAAACACACAAACACACA